AAGAGCTCAGCGACCTTCCCTCAGCCCGATGAGTCCCCAGTTTTCTATAGTAACCTTCTTTCCAAAGTTCTTTTGCAGAAAATTCACATACCTCCAACATATTCGTGTCGGGAACATTTCTGCAAATTTTAAAGAGTCCTTTTTTTGGGGTGCAGGGAGAGGGTAAGGAATCAATATTTCCATTTGGAAGGAATTTTCCAACCACCAAGTACTCTCACTCTCCCTTTCTCTTATATACAGACACACACACGTGCGTGCACACAAAACAAAGCCTCGCCTTTTCATATCCAGAAATGAAGACTGGAGGGGAATATAGTAGCTAGCTACATGTGCACAGTAAAGACTGAAGAATAAGATACCCAACTGAACTTGTAGGAAGGATTTAGGAATGAAGAATTTAATCATGCCAATCACAATTCATTCAGGACACTCGAGCCAGTGCCCCAACTCTTGCACACAGAACCATTACATTTTTAATAGCAATGTATACTTAGATCTCCTATTTTGTGCTTCCACCAAAAGACAGCGAGAGAAATACATCCTTGATGTACCTGACCGCAGTAGAGATGGAATGGACTCATTTGGCTCGCCACTCTTCATCTACAGCCTTCTGTCACCACCTCGGGATACCAGTTTGGTAATGGCTCAATGGAGATTACATTACATACCAAACCATAAGAATTACTTCCTATGGGACCTGAGTTTTACCCGTATCTCTATCATCTAATTTCTACATTATACAACCTAATTGTACTATCCAGAAAGATTTTCTGTCATGTAAGTTCTGGCTTCTTATTGCTTCAAATGAGGGAGGAATGTTAAGTGGTATTAATACTCTTTATACAATCCTTAATGCAAGTCAGTTTTGCCACATATTATGTGTCATTTGATCCTGTAATTCTCCAGCCTCTTCCGACTAATCCTGACCTTAACTGGTTTAGCTCAACTCACTGTGAACCAAACCAAAATATTGACTTTGAGGTTGTACGTTTGACAGGGGGATAATTACTTCCATTAATGAAGCTAGAATTAAACCAATGAGATTCAGCTATTATGAGCATCATAACTGTAGAAAGGAGAGGCAGGGTTTCTCCATTCTTTCTGGTGCATCAACTGGAAATGAAAAAAAATCTTTTCTCCATTCAGTCTGGTGCATCAACTGGAAATGAAAAAAAATCTTTAAATATTTCGGTTTTGGCAGTGTATCCATTTTGTCCTCAAAGAGCCTTCATGCATAACTGAAAATACAAGCAGCAGTAGCTGCAGCAAAGCTGGCATTGCCACTACCTTTAAAATAATCTGCAGTTACCATAGCTAACAATATGAATTCGGCAGCATTTGAATTATGAAAAAGCAATCCATCATATAACAGAGAAATCTCTCCCGAGTAGTGGGGTATTTGCTATTACAAGCAGCTGTATCTGTGACTTAATCTATCCAGTACTACACACGGCTGGATATAAAATGAACAATTTTTGTCATTTATGAGCTGGCTTTTGGCGAGGCATTTTCATAATTTCAAAGAGGGTATCCTATTGTGCTCTTCCTTCTCTTCCACATGAGAAGGATTAATGGCAAAACTTCCATTGACTTCAGCGGTGTGAAGATGTCATGGTCTAGATAAAGTATTCAAGCCAGTAGCCATTAAAGTCAACATGAGTATTTGCACTGATCTGCAGGAACTCCAAATTAAACAGTATGGGCTTGATCCTGCTGCCTCCAAACAGATTTTCCCTTTGGCATCAATGAGCACTAGAGGACCTTAAATCTTCTTTTGTCCATTAGTAAAATGTAACGTGACTCACAGTCCATTGATGAACATCAAGGTCAAACCCTTTTTCTCTCAGCTTTGTAACTTCAGAACAGGATTCTTCAGTGTACCATTTCTGTGGAATAAATCGATTCTCTGTACTTCTACGGAATGATAATTCCAAGACCACCTACCTCTGGGATTTGGGTAGCCAGTTTCTTGGTAAAACGAGAAGCTTTGAAAATCTTGGTCACGAGGTTTACTAACACAGGGCCTGCTGTTCAGAAACTTGATGCCTGAATTCCATTGGCGGTGACGGTGTATCCACATGTACAAAAATGTGCATGGACCTACTAGTGCAATTTATAGAAGTCTGGATCAGTTGCTGCTGTCTGAATTCCCCGATCCTCCAAGTCGCTTCACTGTTACTCTGTATTTAGGTAGGCTCTTCCCTTACAACTTATATTCACATGAGTAAGGAGTACCAGGTCCATGAGTAAAACTCTACTAGTTCACATTGTGATCTTCTGTTCTCTTGACTCCCGTACTCCATCATGGTGTACAGTCATACTGCTATATCCTATGATCCCTTTCAACCTGGATTGGGTACATTCAGAATTGATTTAGTCTGAATATTTGGGACCAGGAATCCAACAGATACAAGTACACATGCAACTGGGACTGAATTTGGCCACAATGACCTAAGTAACCATTGTGAATGGATAGCCCAGTAGCATGAGTAAGGGTTTTTCAATACAAGTAGTAGTCAGACAAGGTCGAATACCCGGTTCTGACCTGCAATTAAATGTGTTCTTTCATGCAAATTTGGCTGGGCAAGGAGGTATGGGGGTGGGAAAAGCAGCGAGGAAAAAAAAAATAAAATAAAATAAGATGACGACTGCATATGTTGATAATGCCCTCGGATATTTTAACTTGCTTGCCAAGATATGCTAGGTTTTGTGCTGCTATTGTGTTTATCCTTGTTGTTCAATAAAAAATAATTAGTTACCATGGAAACTGCCACATCATGTCATGCTTATGTTATCTCTGGCATAAAGAGCAACCTTCCGAGAGAAAAAGTCAGCACTTTGTGGTTAAATGCTGTTGCTTTTTATAACATCTTAGAGGAAACAGTTTCACACCATTTTAAACTTTCTGCATGTTGCTTCTCCTGGAGGCAACAGCATGTGATCGGAAAAATGTTTTGTTCTCTCTCTTCCTTTTCCTCATATTGGACAATGCAGTTTGTACCATCATTAGCTAATAGGGCATGAGCCATCATAGCTGATAAAGCAAAATTATTTGGTATCTTTTTTATGATGGAGGTTTTTAACAAAGTAGAAGTAATACAAAAATTGACACATTCCTCCGAACATAGACTTCAGTAATGTATTTCATTGATTGTGGTGTTGTGCAGGGTTCCAATTGATTTAATTTGTATTATTTGATTTGCCATGAAGTGAAAAAGGGAGAAAAAAAAAGTGAGAAGAACACGCAGTTGTCATGACCCAATGATTGTGTGCGCGCTTCGGCACTGCAGAATTATTTCCCACCACATGGAGCTTTCTTTGCACGGTGCAATTCTCAGCTGCAGAGAGAAAACCCCAGTGCAAAGGAGTTCCTGCCACCCGTATGCAAATTCGTACCCCATTATTGGCCGATTCTAAATTATTCCCACGTGGCGGCTAGCAATTGGCTCACTAGCCGTATAAAAAGGTCAGAACAGTTTCCGCCCAAGTTGTAGAGGACTCCACAACCACCTCGTGGGGACTCTGAGCATGCGGCAGAGTAATAGAAACTTTGCGTGTGTCTCAGAGGAGTTCGGTGGCCTGATCAACCACCAGCCTCTTCCTGTCTCGTTCGTTAAATTCTTCTTAAGACGTATCTACGGTTTTTGCACGCTCGTCAAGGGTATCCAGAGCTCTGTCGTGTTTGTTTAGCGGAGCCTAGCAAACTCCGCTTGTGTTTGTCTGTAACTGCAACTCAAGAAAGGTTTTCCTGCCTGCACCGCGACCACCTACGGTGCAAGTAAAAAAAAACTTTAATTAACCGCTACGAGCCCGTGCCTAGTTCTAGTCCGTCATGCAAAAGTACCCGCCCTACCGTTGCGGGCTCCCGGCCACAGCCCGCCGCGCGCCCCTGAAAGCCTCGGACCGCTCCTGGCCCGCACAGCAGTGAGATTTTGGAAGTAGAAAGTGGCAGCAGGTGGCCATGTACTGACCAATACCTGGTGTTACACAGGGAAAGATGCTGGTGTTATCTTTTATAATGATGTGTTTTTTTTCAGGGTCCTGGATGAGTGTCTTTTTTTAAGTGACTGACCATAATTAGCTATGCAAGGGTCTGATCCAATTTTACATTCTCTGTTCAAGACACGGGATACTGGCTTTTTACAAGTAGAGGTAGACTGTCCAGAGCAGTTCATATGTTTGTACTCCCCAAATGGTGCACATAAAGGTTTTGGATATATTGTTTGATAAGCATTGGACATTCAGCATCTGCAACACCCACAGGCAAAAAAAGGTATTTAGGTGTCAACAGAACCATTTGTATATGCCACTTAGCCCGACTGGTACTCAAGATGCCCAAAACTGCACATGCAAAACTTGTATGTACCCTAGAGGTTGTAGACCCCATACAAGTAGTGCTTCACAGTTTTGGCACTGGACTTTTTAAATCTATAAGAGCACTTCTTAAATATAAAACCCTGGCTTCCACCTGACATCTTCCTGAAGCATATTGCTTATTTTACAAACTTGGCCCCATGCTCATGCTGTATAAAACTGATATCAGAGTCCAATATACATAAGGAGAAATAAAATTAAACTGGAAAATGAGATCATTACACAAAGTGCTATCAGCCACTTTGGTCTTTCCAGACCTGTGATGTGCTAATGTATCCTTCAGACTGACACTAATAATAATAATAATAATAATAATAATAATAATGTGATGAGAGCGAGACAGCGTACAGTAAAACATGCCTTATACAAGAGCAAGGGAGCCATGACTTGGCACACACAGAAATTAAAGTGGGCACTCTACCCAGGCCAAGCCACATCCTAAAAACTATTTCTCAGGATGACAACTGCAGAACCACTGGGCTCAATAAGCTGTCACCATCTGTGGGAGGTGAACGGTAGCCACACACTGATGTCCATACACACAGAAAGCTACGGCAAAAGAATTCACATTTTGGTTGGAGAGTCAAACATCCAAAAATCCCCCATTTGCAGATGTCCTCACAACCTTCATATGGTCCTGGATGGTGCATCTGACCTGTGTACAATTATAACAATTACAATGAACTAAGTTTGCATAAGCAACCATAGCTTTGGCATCAGCTAGCCTCTCAAGCCTTGCCTTGCAATCTAGCCCCTTTTTAATATTATTTACTAGCCTCTCTTTAAGGACAAGGTTAAAATGATTCTATTATGCAGAAGTGGTAGGGATGGAAGTGAAGGGAAAAAAAAAATAAAAAAGAAAAAAAAAAAAAATCTTACCTGCCTCAGCTCCCTACACAGTGAAAGCAGCTGCTAGTACTGCACAGCAGCAGCCCAGCAACCAATGACATGGGCTCCTTGGGAGCTACCCCTTCAACCCCACTTGCTTCCCCCCAGACATGCTATACGGTGCAGGATTGTGTCTGCTGTGGCAAGGACTCCTGGAGGGGAGTGGGGTGTGCTGGTGCCCTGCCCTAGATCTAATACTGCTGTTATGTACAATATCTAGAAAATCCTTCCCAAATAATATGCAGTAACAATAAAAGGTGGACCCCTGAAGTTCAGATTTCTATACAAAAAGAGGTGGCAGCAGTGAAAGGCCAGTAACCCAGGTGGGCTGGGCGGAGTGGCTGGCATCAGGAGTTGGGTCCATACAGTGCTCCTTAAGACAGAGGATAAGATCCTGGGCCAGGGGGTAGATGAAGCAGGTTGGGAGTGGTTAGGGAAGCAGCCAGCCTTGTTCTCCCTCCCACTGCAATAGATGCGGTGGTAGCAGATCTCAGGAATTCTCCAGATAACCTTCTCCGAGGCTGCTGCAGCTTTATTGGCAGCACAGGTCAGGCTCTTTCAGGTTCAGCAAGTTTAGCAGGCTGACTAAATTTCCCCAAGGAAATCAAGTAAGAGGAGGGAAATGGTGATTTTTTTTTTTTAAACATAACTACTCAGATAAATCTGAATGGAATTTCATGGGACAAAAAAAAGCAGGGGCAGGGGTTCTTGCTCATTAAAGAGGGCCTGTTGCCAGCAACAAGATACATGAATGCTTCCTGGAGGGAAAAAAAGAAAAGTTCACAAGCAACTCTTATAATGGAAAGTGTTAAGGAAGCTCAAGAGAGGGATCACATCCAGCACTTTTATAATTAAAGCTATTTAAAAAAAAAAAAACCTTGCTATATTAATATGCAGCATAAAAAAAAAAAAAAAAAAAAAAAAGAGTTATGCATGTGGAAATTTATTTCCCAACACTAGAGAATAAGCCAGTAACAGAGACGATAAAAAAAAAAAAAAAAAAAAAAAAAAAAAACTTTAAAATGCAAGGTTTTCCCTTGGGAGGAAAGGGGCGGGGGGTTGGGGTGTAGTTGGCATGGCTGTATTTTTTGCATTACTAACACCATAATATGAAATCATTTAAAATACACCACACATACCAAACAAACAACCCCTTTAAAAAAAAATTTGCATTATGGAAGATGGTCTTCAAATGAAAAATTCTTAAGTATTTCAGGAAAGTTTGTATGAAGTTTGAGAAAAAAAAAATTTATAAAGCACTTGAATTGGGAATAATATTTAATGGTTTATTTTTAAAAGAAATGTATGTGCGTTTTACACCTTCTGGATGAAAACAATGATTATAATTTGAAAATCATCCCAAACCAAGTTTTCCATTGTTTGGATTCATAAAAAAAAGTCTGTTGCGAAAGTCAGCCCTTCCCTCATTTCACACACATACATGCACAGTTGCGCACACGACTCTTTTGCACACAAATTTCTACTTGAAAGAGAGATCATCATCTCTACTTTTGACCCGTTAGTCTTCATTTCCCCCCCCCCCACACACACACACACCCCCCGCCCTAACAAGCAAAGGCTGCACTTTCCTCTCTGTATTGTACAGTAACTTGCATCACACAGAGCTGAAATGTTTAGTCCTGAAAGCCAGCAGGGCGCCACACCCTTTTCTGTAACCATGACTCATGAGTCAGTGTTTAATAAGAAGCAAGCGTTCGTTAGAGAGGAGTTTTAGTTTGTCATTTAATCAAGAGGCCCAGCTCAAAAAGACCCAGATATATTGCAATATCACTTTTTAATATATGGAGGTTACGGGTTATGACCACCCCTTAACCTAAAAATGTGAGCCAAGGTCCAATGATCACAGAACAGATAAGCCTCTTTGTTTCATGTAGAAAAGGAAAACAAATGTTAAAACGGAAGACAGAACATACCATGAAGTTTGTTGCGTGGCCAATTGCGTGAGCCTCCCCTACCTAGATAACCATCCTTGTGTTTTATAAAATAAAACAAAAAAGACTAGGACAGCTAAGCCAGGATGGTTGGAGAAAGGAAAGAGACTGTAGATTAAGTGATTGAAAACAGGAGAAAAAAAAAAAAGTTAGGGCCCTGCTTTTGATGGTATATTGTAGAGCAGGAGACAACCTCTTCTGGGCCCCTGAGCAAGTAATGTGTGGCAAGTAACATCTTTCTTCATTCTCCATCAACCTCATTTTCAACCTATTAAAACTTCCAATGTACATGAGCAATGTCAGAAGGTCTGGTGGGCAAGCTATGGATGGAATACCACCATTACAAGCACACTGACCGCTATACACCCATTCAATACAGTTGAAATTGGTCCTGAACTGGGAGACAGATTATGTTAGTTTAATATTGTATGAAATACTTTTAAATAGCCTGGCTCATCAGGTTTCTTCTCTCTTTTTCCATTGCAGTAACTGCAGCTCATGCAGACATACGCGAATTAGCCTTATACCAGCTTGCTCAGGTAATGCCCAAGTTTTTACTGAGTTGCTAAGGCATTTTTCAGCCCACACCAAGCTGCTAAGACTACACTGCTAATTCAGGTTAGTTCTTTCAAAGCTAGTCAACCCATGTCTACAACTGCACATAGATATAGCCTTTGCTTTGTGTATGCACTAAGTGACTTGCTCAGCCTCCTGCTACAGAGCACCTTATGCTGCATGTGACAACCAGAGCATTCCCCTTGGTGTGTTCAACTCCGTAGTCTTGTGCACCACCCAACACACATTGTACCAGGTCTACTTCCACGGTGCACCCACTGCTGCTTTTCTACACCGCCTTGACTCAGCAGTCTGCATCTGCTCCTGTTGATGGGATTGAAGGATAGACTTCTATTCACATGCATGTCTAAATTCCTTGCAGAGTGAGAATAGATGCAAGCAGAGGTACTTAAGCATTCTGCTGAACTGGGTACCGTCATTTTCCATATATTCCACTTCCACTTTCTCCATATGCAGCTACAAGAGCTTTACAGAATAGATCTATCAATACTCAGTGCACCCCATCTCCACAGGGACCTACATTTTTAAATCGGTGTCCATTTTTCATGGCCTTATAAATCAACAGATAACCAAATTCCAACAGGCTAAGGAAATCCAGAGATCACTCACCGCCATCATCTCCTCCTCCTCGTTTTTAGACATTGCAGAGACCTTACAGAAGTGCAGTATGGTATTCAACATGACACTTGCTCCCATCTACAAGAAAAAAAAGTGATGTTAGTAACTCACTCCCATCTTGGTTCCCCTCCTTGCCGGAAGCATCTTAAGTCAAAATAACATTTTCTTTAGTCTTTGTGACCTAGCCTTTCCTCAAGTTGCCCTAGGTGGGGTAGGGAAGGCAACCTTACCTGGGGTCTTGGGGAGCCACCAGGGCTCATGGACTCTGGCAGGCCAGGCTCCAGTTTTGGGCGGCAAATGCAACACATGGCTTTTTTTCTGGTGCAGGTTTTTTGACACTGGGATCTGCCAGTGTAAAAAACACCAAACCACAAACCAACCACCGTACTGCAAATTAGCAGTGCAGCAAACACCAACATGTGTGGCATGTGCAGTTTGTGGCACCACAGGCAGGTGGCCCTGCAAACTGCCCACACATGCTTGTCTGAATGCACCTTTGGGTTAGGGACAGACATTCAAAAAAGCCTGATCCTGAACTGATTCAATTTTTAGTTTAGTTTAGCCAGGTTAGACTAACATGTAATTTGTAACTGTAAAGACATTCCTTCTGAACTAAAAAAAACCAAAACAAAAGTACAGGCACATGACTGCAGTGGCTCAGGCTAGAAGCGGACGGTGCCAGATCAGCCTTCCTTTCCCTTTCACAGTGCTGAGCTGAGGGGGGCCTGGCCAGGCCCCAGCAAGACACTCCGATTAGGGAGGGGTCTCATCCCTGCCTTCTGACCAGCCCAGTGGGGAATTGATAACTTTTTTTTTTTTCCCTTAATGTGGTGATTAAACAGAGAGGGACATTACCAGCTACTTGTTGATTCTGCCTTTGTCCCATCTACCACAGCATGGACCCTAGCCAGCATGGTCTGCTAGCTAATGCCAAGAGGTGGCTCTGTAAGGCAGAGGGGACGGGGAAATCCCTGCTTAGCAGAGTGTGATGAGGAGTGGGAGGAGCAGGGGGAAAACCAGGCAGATGCCTGCAGTCTCTGCCAGAGCTGCAGCCACGGAGCAGAGGGGAGGGACCAGCCCTGCTGTGGAGCCGAGAGCCCTGCCCAGCCCAGAGAGCATGCTGGGAGAGTCTGGTTCATCTTAAACTAGCAAGGGTCTGGGACAGACATTGCATAAACTGGTTTGACCCAAATCAGTTAAGTCTGATACTACATTCCACCAGATTCATCTCAAACCCCTTTCAGCCATTTTCAAACTGGTCTATATGCACTGAACATCTGTTCTGTTACAGGTTTAAACCAGTTTCTGATCACTTAAACTGGTTTGTGCGTGTTGTCAGTCCCTAGCCTTGAAGACTAACCGGTTCAGAGAGGCATTAGCTTTTGCAGACAGCATCCTACTTTGTCAGATGCTAGGAAGGGAGTGAAAGGAAAAGTGTATATGGAGGAAAGGCTGCTAAAGTAGGTAATCAAGGGAAGAAGAAGAAATATATATCAATAGGATCAGTTCAGATCAGCCAAGTAGCTAATACCTGGATCTGGAATTCTACTTGACTCTTGGCTCTTCCAACACTTCCCGTGCGAATGAATTTGAGTATCAGTCCTCCAGCTGTAAAACTTCTGTCCACCTCTTCCATTTAGATAGGAAGCTCTTTGGGGCAGAAATCCTCTTTTATTGGGCAATGCCTCAGCAGAATGGGGTCCCAATTCTGGTAGTCATTTCTTAGTACTACCATATTATACCAAAATAAAATAAAATGTATATAATGTATTTTTTTTGTATGGTACATACCAGCCTGACCAGTGTTGCTTAGTGTTCACGTGCATGTTCAATACACATTTGGGGTAAAAGGTACTGCAGTTGACAAAACGATGCTGCTTTCACCGCCAGCTGGAGAGCAAATTGTTTTCTCTTCCTACTTCCATTTTTCAAATTATATTTATCTAGCTCTTGTGCCGTCTTATTAAGTCAAGTAAATGTTTAAGTATTAAGCCATTTCTGAGAGCCCCAGTTTAGCCATTAGCCACGGTGGTATGTGTTCAGATAATTTAGCAGTGGACAAACAGTGAAAGTCATATAGAAACACAGTCATAAGTAAATGTTGTTTTTAGCCTCTAAAGCTAAACTGGCCCGATGCCTCACCATAAATTAAAACCAAGATCTGATTGTACAGACACTTCAGTCTACTGAAAACAAAAGCAATAGTGAGAGCTTTATGTAGAGAGGCGAGATGGAAAAAGATTAATATAAGCCTTACATCAGTAATACTGAAAGTCTCATTTATTATGAGGTGTCTGAAAAAACAATTGGGTAAATATTGATCCATCAAGCATGCAGTATTTGATAACATAACATCTTTCATTATACAAGAAATGAGCTTCCAAGTTCAGTTCTGCAATGACACTGTTATCAAACTGCAAGTTAACTTGATGTTGTCTGGAAACCCTGGGAAAGCAACAAGTGCTTTGTTTTGCTGATAGCCTGAAGGATTTTTAAAGGTAGGTGTAGGTATTTAAAGGCAAGTCTTAATCATCCTCCAACATACTTAGGAAGGATTGAGGGGGGAATTCAGGTGCCTGAAGCCATGTCCACTTGGTGAACTCACCAGGCCCCCAGTGGCAGCCTAGAGCAGAAGAACTGTAGCCATGTCCCGCAGGACTTCAAGCAGGTTAGGCAACGTTGCCAATTAGCCCATCCCATGGTAATTAGCCCACTTGCACTGCTGTATGGGCATTGTCTACAATGCTTCCAATTTGTGAAACAGCCTACTCAGAGCAGCACAGCCTTGCAGCATAGTAATTTTATCCTGGAGATACAGCCTAAGTCAGAGGGGTCCAAGTCAAATCCAAGCTGCAAAACCATGTAGATACCTGGATTAATTCACCACCATTTTGTCCTGAAGAAATTCCCAGATATCTACATTTTGATTACTAGAAGCAGTCCAGACACCCAGGTGCCCCATGCCTGTTACCAAGTTATTTTCTGTAAGGACTATGTTGTGAGTAATCTGCCCTAGTTGTTAGACCACCAGATCAGGGCAGGAGCCAGAGAAGGAGTCCAAGGGAATCCTAGGAGCAGAATCCACTTCACAGGCCAGATCAGGGCTCTCAAGTCAGAGAATGAGCTACTAAAGCCAATTTCCAGATAGCCAGAATCCATCAACAGAGCTGAGCTGGGCCAGGGGTCAGAAAGCCAAGAGCAGAGCATCCAGGGAAGTTTACCATGGCAGACAAGGCACAACTGTTGGCTGGCCTGCCGCCAACAGGTGGATTAAAATAAGGAGGTTGCCATCCCCAGCAGCCAAGAGGCCCTAGCACTGGTCAGCTGGTGCATCAGCCACAGTTTGGCTGCCGCTTACATCCTCTGGCAGGTTGGGCCCCTGGGGCAATTTAGTCCTGGCTGGACAGCCTGTTAGGACCCCTGATGTTTTCTTTTAAACCAGGGACTCATGTAAGGATCAGCACCCTACAGTCTACAGGCAGATTTGGGGCTTCAGTGGCATGCGGCGAAAGTGGGGGGAACCTTCCGTGGGAGACAGGCAGGGAGACCACCTAGCACCTGCCTGCCTCCAACCTGGGGTGGGTCATTCTGGCCTACAGCCAGAATAAAGGTTTCCTACCCCTTGCCTGGTCCAACACAACATTCCCCATCAACAAGAACAGCAACTCAAGACTTCCCCTTCCAAAGGAGCGCCCTCCTCACTAGGCCACACTCCCTCTTGCCCCATGGATCTTGTACTCTTGGCAGTTGTGGTTCAATAGAGGCTGCAAGATGGAGGAGGCAGGGAGAAGCCTACTAATTGGAGCACTCACCTGCAAAGTGGGAGACGAGGTCAGCATTGTAACACTAAGATCCAGGCATGAAATCCTACCCCCCACCCAGTTATTGCTAGACAGTGTCATTTCATCAGTATCTTAACTCCATGGTCTCCTTGCTATCTACAGACTATTTCATGTAGCAACATGTTGTTAGAATTTAATTTCTGATTATTCACAAGAGATATTTCCTCATTAAAAATACAGCTGGAAAAGGGTTTGTCAACAGATTCCCTTTAACAATGATTCATAGATAGAAGCCTGGCAAACGTTTCTTTGCCAAGATTAAAGCAAGTCTGCTGAAGTGCTCAGTGGACAGAGCTAAAATTTCTTTTAACCACCAAGCAAATTCAATCATCAGGAGTTACATTTCTCATGTTACTTCATGAATCTCTTTGCAGGCAGGCACAAAGACTTCTGCATTTGGCCAAAAACCAAAGGAAGGAAAAAAGGAATTCCAAGACTAAATTTTCAAACTTCTCTCTCTAGTATTGTGGAAACCGCAAGAAGTTCTGCGAAGTTAGTCTTTGAAAGGGAATTCTAACTGCAATGTCATGCAGCTGCAGAACAATAAAAACACACAGTACTGACATAGCTATTTAATGGATTCTACCACCTCTACCCATGTTGACTTTAGAGCAAAGATATATTATTCAATGATGATCACAACATAAGGGGCTACCCAACTTGAGAGGGATACCAGAATCCAAAGATACAAAAAACATGGCATCATAAAACATAAGAAAAGTCATCACCCATTTTCCAAAAGTCACTTTTTTCTCAAGTTCATTTAGTGCACAAGTCACAAAAACCCATCTATGAGACTGCGTGGGGCAGATGTGTTCATGTTGCACCGTGCTTAAATGCCAAATGAAGCAGCTTCTATCAGACTGTTTGACAGGTTTTTTTCTGAACAGCAGATGATATCAGGAGCAAAATAAACCCTAGAAAAAAAAAATAGCTAGAGGAAGATTGGGACAGTTAAAAAAGCATCCGCCATAGCTGTAACTTTTGATCTGCTAACAGCGGGTACCAGCAAAAAAGGAAATAGAAGCTCACCTTATTTCTGACAATAGCCGATTAGATGTACTTGATATTTTTAATGGTATTCAGTTAGCTTGAGCAAAAGCAACTGTTGATGAGAAAGTAACAACATGTTGAGGCCAACTATAAAACTGCAATATAGAAATTTAATGAGTATTGAATCACTGTGTAAATATGAAACACATGATCAATATAAGATGAACATATTCCATAATTTGTAAATAGCTGCAGGCTAATAAGCCAGTCCAAGTTTTTTTTGTTTTGTTTTTTTGATAGGGGTGAAGCAGAAGGATGAGTTCTAGAGATGGTTTGAGTGGGATTCTGACCTCGTGATCGGATCCATCAGAAGGCCCTGAACTGATCTTCGACAGGGCAGAGAAAAAAGATCTACAGGCACAAGGAATCACGTAGTCCAGACTGAAGTAACGGAGCAGTGGACTGTGCTCAGACACTGCTAACATATTAGAGAATCCAATATGGTACAAGAGGAGACCTGCAGCACAAAAAAAGTTGCTAAATAGCCCACTTCGTCAATTTAGGGCAAACGCATAGCTTCCTTTGCCTGCTTTGCTTCAGAGGCACCTCTTTTTAAAGGTGAGCACTCTCACTCTCCTGAGGCTGCCTTACTAGAAGAACTAAGCAAGTGATCATCAGGGATACAGGTGTTCTGTTAGCCATGGAAAAGTCAATTTTTTCCTTAATGTAAGAAGAAAAACCAAGGAGAGAGGTTTCCCCTTGCAGACTGGCAGATTTCTACCCTGCAAGGGGCTGCGGGGGGGGGGGAGCAGGGAATCAGGCAGGGGGCACCACATGCCAGCCAGGCAGCATGAGAACAGCTCCAGCAGCTCCCTGCAAGTATGTGAAGGGGGGAGGAGGTTGAGGGAGGTGAATTGAGGCCCCCATAAATGGGGAGGGAGGGACTTGGGCAGGGCTGGGGATGCTGCCCAGCCGGGGTGGTGCATGGGGCTTGGAACGCACAGCTGCAGGGCCCAGGCAGGGAGCAGGAGAGACTCGTGGGTCTGTCCTGTGCAGCTCGTCCAAGGGGTGGCAGGGGGCTAGTTCCCCACCACTCCTGGGGGAGGGAGGGAAGGAGAAGAGGGACACATGCCCTCCAGATCTGTGTGCAGGGTAGGGATGGATGCAGGCTGGCAGCTACAGGCTCAGGGCTCTCTGCCCTCTTCCTGGGGGCTCTGTGGCCCAGCAAGCCAGACCCAGTGTGGCAGGGCAGAGAGCCTCAGTGTCACTACCGGGAGCTCCACACTGCCATGGCAAGGTGCTCCCAGGCCACCCGGCTGCAGCAAGTGTGGCAGCATGGAGTGGTGTCTCCCGCTGCTGCTGAGTGGCCAGGGGGCACCTTGCCATGGCAGTGTGGGGCTCTCAGCAGCAGCACTGATCCTCCCCACCCTACTCTGCCCTGCCGTGCCGTGCCAGGTCCACAGAGGCACCCAGGGGAAGGCAGAAGGGCCGGAAGCCCCAAGCCCGCAGCCTGCAGCCTGCATCCAGCCTCCCTCCCATACCAGCTGTCAGGGAGGGGGAGCTAGGCTCCACTCCACTGCAGCAGCCACCACCTCCCGTGGGCAGCAGTTGGGACTCAGGTGCCGCTAGGGATCTAGGGGTTGTGAACCCACAGCCATGGCCTCATAGCCCTAGCAGCTGGCCCCCCAATAGCTACATATACAGCAGCATTTCATTTTAAAAGTTGTGGAAAAACACGAATTTGGGGTTGTTTTTTTTTAAAAAGAATTTGCAAGTTTAAAAAAAAAAAAACAAAAACCCACAGAAAACAAGGATCCCTGGTGATCATCATGCATCTGCAATCCATGGTACACCTGAGAATGCATACCAAGTAAACTGGTGCATTCGGCCATTTAAAAGGACTTACGGATTTACATAGGACACTGCAAATCCACATTCTTCCTGATCCAGTAGCTTGGTAGAAAACAGCTTCAAACTAATAACAACACTCCCTGTGGAAAAGCTTCAGAATGAGAATCCGATTGATATTTAGCACTGTTAAATTCCAGAAGGGCATGAACAAAGCACAAGTTGTTACCTGCTGACATCTTGTTCATCAGAAAGCTGAAAACAAGCCTGCAATGATGTCAAAGCCATTAGGTCCTTGCAGATATAGAGAAAGACAGCTGTCAGCACTTCATGCTGTGATTACTCACTGTCATGGTCCACCACACCAGCCAGCCTAGCAAGTAGAGCTAGTCATGGAACTGGGGTAAGAGTTAAAAGCCACAACTCAGGAACCAAAATGCCAAGCCATGTCAGGAACTGGGAATCAGAAACTGAGTTACCAAGTCCAAAGGAAAATCCACAGAGTGAAGTCAAAGAATAAGCCAAACCTGGGTCAGAAATCAGGAACCAGATCCGCAAGAAGAACCCAGAGGCTGAAATCCAGGAACAAGCCAAAGACAGCATCAGGAACCAGGGAAGTTAAAGATGTTGCTGGAACAAGAGCTGCTCAAGGACTGGAGACCAGTATCTTGTGCAACAAGGCTCAGGTGCTGGAGGAGTTCCTTAACTGCAGCTCCAGAAGCAATCAGAGGGAAGGGGCTGGGGTCAGCTGGTCTTGATTAGCAGTAACGGGGTCAATGCCCTTAAGGCTGGAACCTGCCTGAGCCTTACAGAGCTGGTCCAGGCTACAATACAGGAGCCTTTCACCCATGATGAGCAACAATGGTTGCCTATAGCAGTAGTGCCATAAGAGGTAACCTAGTGGTTCTATGAGGTTTTTACCACACCAAAACTGTGGAGAAATAGGATACATCTTTTGCAAATCTCTGAAGAGGAAAAGGGACATGGAGTTGTCTGTTTTTCCTGAGAAGGCCCGTGCAGGCAATGACCACAGTGGGTCAAAGTGTTTCAGCCCCAGAACATGCACAACCAGAATGAATGCACTTATAAGGGCATAACCAGGGTGGTGCTGATGTCTTAGGAGACCTACAAGTCCGTACACTGTGGTGTCTCAGAAACGCACTGAAGTTTGTGGTCTATTTTAGTTAATTGATACAAATATTTGAAATACTGGATTATGATAATATTGTTTCTTAATTTGAAAGGAGGTTATTTTGGTTGGGAAATGAAGATGTGAAAAACTGCTTCTTTAGCTTCAAGGAGCTCTTGAAAGAGCCAGTGAATATCAGTGGCTGTTTCATGTGGAGGCTTGCGTTGCATGGGGCTTGACAGATTCAGGCTACCAAATGAAGTGAACTTCCAGCAGATTCCTTGGTTCAGAGAGATTTCTGACTGACACCATCTCAATTCACAGTCTCTCCTAGCTAGACTTTCAGCCAGAGACACCAGCCTTTTCATAGGCATGGGGTGGAAGGGGATCATTGTACTTTTCCTTACTCCTGGGTCCAAATTTGCACTTGGACCCATTTGGCATGTATTATTATTCCATTGGCTTCAGTGAACTGATTAGCATGAAAAGAGAACAAGTCTTTAATGTCAACCAAATTAATTACAGGACATCAAACTGATGTGCTTATGAATAGGGCCCTACTGAATTCAAGGCAGAAGTGGGCTACGCTGCAGCTACTTTAATGTTGCAGGTTCTCCCATGTGCCTCCACGCCTCTGATTGGTGGAGCTCCCTTCGCCCCCTTATGGCCTTGTTCCTGATTGGCAGGGAGGAAACAACTGCAGTTTAAATCTGATGCCGTTTTTGCTTCCCCACCAGTCAGCTGTAAGCAGCGGGGCCGCTGCTTGAGCAGAAAGAGGAGGCCTTACATGACCAAAACAGAACACATTGAAGTCTTCGTCCCCTTTCCCCAGTTGGGGCAAGCTTCTCAGACATCCAGGTTTTGTCTTTCCCATTACTGCAAATGGCAGGACTAGTCTGATCTCATGTATCCCAGTGTGAACCAGGCTACTACATCAACAGCATGAGCGCTGGTGGGTGAGACATCAGAATCAGCCCAAACATGCACATTTTGATCACACTTTGTATTATGAATGCACTTACAAATAGCTAAGAAAGGGTTAAGAAATGAGTAACAGATGTTTTACTAAGTTCATAATCAATTATTATATACTCAAGTCAATAGATTACCTGTACAAGTTGTCCAGTGCAATACAACAAGAATAATAATAGTAACAGTAACCATTCCCATCCCATCACAGTGTATTAATTATACTTCCTACTAATGTATTTCCAGATGGATGACAACTGTCTACAAAAGGCCGTGCTGTACAGGGAGCTGACGATGGGGAAACGCAACAGAGGGGTCTCACGCAAACGCTTCAAGGACCTTCTGAAGAGGTCCTGTTCCGCCTGTGGTATTGACCACAAGTGGTGGGAAACACAGGCTGCAGGTCGTGATGCCTGCCGGCTCCAAATCAAAAAGGCAACAGCCGTCTTTGAATATTAGCACAGAGCCAGCGTTGAGGAGAAGAGGAGTAAGAGGAGAAAGATACACCCATATCTAGCAGCCAGCAGCCATAAATGTGTAACCATTGCAGCAGGATTTGCCTCTCTGCATTTGGACTGATTAGTCACCAGTGGGCCTGTAACCAGTGTGGGCAGCTACCTTCCTAACATCTTCGTCTGCAAAGAACCGCCAAGAAGAAGACCAATGGACTTAAAACCATCTACAATGCAGAATGCGTTAGCCCAGGGGTGCTCAACCTCCAGCCCGCAGGCCAAATATAGCCCATGGAGCCATAGATATTTGGCCTGCATGGGTCCCCACAGATCAGGAAATTTAGCAGCAAGGGAACAGTGGCAATAAATGTGGTCACCCTCCCCCACTGCCAAATTACCAAATCCCAAGCCCCGCACAGCAAGTTAGGGCCTCCCCTCGCCCCAACAGCTGGATGGGACTGGGTCATGCCCCCTTTACCTTGTGGGGCTGGATTGGGGCTAGCTCAAGCAGCCACCCCCCGCTTCCCATGGGCCTCGGTTGGAGCTAGGTTGGAGCCAGGATGCCCCCTGCCCTGCTCTGCGTAGCTGGAGGGACTCTGCTGCAACTGCCCTGTTCCAGATTACGTCTACCAGCTGGATCTGGCCTACAGACCATCTGGGCACTGCCCATCCAACTTGCCAGCCAAAAGGGTTGAGCCCCACTGCTTTTCCCTAAGTGGCTGTAACATGTTTATAACATCTGTTAATGAATTATGAACCCTTCATTTAAAAAAAAAGCTATAAATGTGTCGTTAATAAGAATGGTGGCCTACTTTCTGTTCTAAATCACCAAAATCTTCCTTGTTCCTAAGCTTCCTTCACTCATGCTAATACATCAGGAAATACAACCAGCTCAGCATTCATTTTCATGTTCAATGCAAAAAGAAAACTAAGAGACTGCTGATAAGGGTCACTCCTTTGTAGCATCAAAAGATCCATATGAAGGCTCAGTTTGTCTACATATTCCTTCACTGCCGACACTGTACTTGAGCTTTGAACAGTATTCATGACTGGAGCTCATTCCACTTTTTGACACTTTCTTTTTCCTTTTCTTTGTTCTTCTCATGCCATCATAGAATCATAGTAAGTTAGGGTTGGAAGGGACCTCAGGAGGTCACATCTAGTCCAACCTCCTGCTCAAAGCAGGACCAGCCCCAACCAGTTCATTCCAGCCAAGGCTTTGTCTAGCTGGGTCTTAAAAACCTCCAAGGATAGAGATTCAGCATCCTCTCTGGGTAACCTGTTTCAGTGCTTTACAACCCTCCTGGTGAGAGTTTTTCCTAATATCTAACCTAAACTTCCCTTGCTGCAACTTGAGCCCAGTGTTCCTTGTTCTGTCATCTGCCCCCACTGCGAACAGTCCAGCTCCATCCTCTTTGGAACGACTCTTCAGCCAGCTGAAGGCTGCTATGAAGTCCTCCCTCAGCCTTCTCTTCTCTAGAATAAATCAGCCCAGTTCCCTCAGCCTCTCCTCATAAGTCATGTACCCCAGTCCCCTAAGCATCCTCAATGCCCTCCACTGGACTCTATCCAATTTGACCACATCCTTGTCCAAAACTAGACTCAGTACTCCAGATGTGGCCTCACCAGTGCTGAATTAAAGGGGAATCATCACGTCCCTGCTGGCAATGCTTCTACTAATGCAGCCTGGTATACCATTAGCCTTCTTCGCAACAGGGGCACACTGTTGGCTCATAGTCATCTTATTGTCCACTGTACCCCCCAGGTCCTTTTCTGCAGTTGGTCCCCAGCCTGTACTGGTGCATGAGATTGTTCTGTCTGAAGTGCAGGACTTTGCACTTGTCCTTACTGAACGTCATGAGATTTTTTTTGCCCCAATCTTCCAATGTGTCTAGGTCTCTCTGAATCCTAGCCCTACCCTCCAGAGTATCTATGATATCCCCCAGTTTGCTGTCACCTGCAAACTTGCTGAGGGTGCACCCCATCCCATCTTACAAGTCATAGATGAAGATATTGAACAAAATCAGCCTCAGGACCAACCCCTGGGGCGCTCCACTTGATACTGGCTGCCAGCTAGATATTGAGCCATTGATTACTCCCTTTTCAGCCTGACAATCCAGCCAGTTTCTTGTCCACCTTACAGTCCACTCATCCAGCCTGTGCTTCCTTAGTTTGCTTGCAAGAATGGTGTGGGAGACAGTCATGCAATATTTCAGTAGTTGAATATCCTTTCTGGGTTAGCTCACACCTCAAGCAGGAGCCTTATGGCCCGACAAGTAGCAAGTATTTTCTAGGAAATCTTTGTGTATGTATGTGTATGTGTTTGAGTTACACAGGTGTCCTTTAATATGTACACAGACATGAAGATGCTGTAAACAGCGGCAAAGACCACCAACAAGCAAGAGACATCAGGGAATCAAGTGGAGTTTAACAAACTTCAGTCCTGAGAGATCACCTTTTTCTTTCTTTCGGTGAAAACTGATAAAATTCACTTCCTAGCAAACTATGCAGAAGTCAGTTAAGGAACTCAAAAACACCATTATGTTTGTCTCTTGGGTAAGTATTTATCTAGAACCTTATAACATCCACATTATCAAGAATTTCCCCACTTATGCTCAATAAAGTAATATGGCTTAAAACAAATTTTTGTGGCGGGCGTTAGAAATGATGGGCATAACAGTTCTTTTTTCACTTATTCTCATGAAACCTCAATGCATTTTTGCCTCTATAGAGTAGAGGTCCATAGATTTTAAACTGTGGACATGTCCCTCCTGATCCACCTTTTTTTTTTTTAACAGTAACTCCAAACTAAAAAAAGACCAAAAGTAAAATTTTCAAAAAAGTTTCTAAATAGTACATGAGGCAAGGAGTCAAAATCCCATTCAAAGTCTAAGGGCCTTAAGTTCCTAAATCACTTCAGCAGTTTTGGAAATGTTGCCAAGTTCCCTCTTTTCCTTGTCTAATGTGACATGTAACCCATGCAACTGTCTCCCACACCATTCTTGCAAGAAAGCTAAGGAAGCACGAGCTGGATGAATGGACTGTAAGGTGGACAGAAAACTGGCTGGATTGTCAGGTTGAAAGAGTAAGTAATCAATGGCTCAAT